TTGCGTGAATCGCAAGAGTACCATATATGTCATTGATAATACAGTTGTTTTCTTTTATATCTTTTAATTATATACATATTACTCTAATTAAAGTTATGTTTTTGTTATAAACATACAAATTTACAAATCTAATATTAATGTTTGAATTTCAAAAATAGTCATTTTTACTTTTTAGTATTTTTTTGATTTTTTGTTAAAATTTACAAACTAACGCGATATTTTTTGGGTTTGGTATGCTCAAATAATTTGAGAGAAACCATAATTTTAAAGTATTAATCAAGAGATTAAACAATATGAGGACACTGAAGGTAACCCAAAATAATTGTCAACGAAAAAATTATTAATCAAGAGAGAAATTGCCTTTACTCCATTCGCCAGAGAGATTGTTTATGATCATCAGCAACTATTTATGTACCTGTGCTCGGATCGTTATGGGATTATGGAATTCCTCCCAATTTTTTTTAATCATTTTAGTTAAGTATAAGCCCATGGGCCATGCCCAAGTCACGTGGATCTCGTCCCCCAAATTGTCCTATAAACCCTAATTTAAATCGACAAGTTAACAACTTAAAGTCTGCTCCAAGTAAGAAAACCTAAGAAAAAGAAAAGTGTTTTGGAGAGATATGGAGGATCAAAAGCAGACGAGTTTCACGTTTGAGATAGATAACTTCTCGAAGAAGGAAGGTTCGATACAATCTCCAAACTTCTCAAGCGGCGGCTGCGAATGGTAAAGTAGAAGATTATACTATATATACCTATGTGTTATGGTTTTTGTTTTTTCACGTTTAAATAATCTGTTTCTCTTTCTTTCTTTCAGGGTTCTTAAGGTTTATCCGAAAGGAGATGGTATTGATGATGACTTGTCTCTGTACCTCTCCGTTGCGAATCCTAAATCATTGCGATTTGGATGGAAAAGACGAGTTAATTATTCCTTCGTTCTGTTGAATCGATCAGGCAAAGAACTCTATAGAACAGATGGTAATTTACTTATCAGACAGAAAGTATATATATATGTGATTGACGAAGAAGAAATATTGTAATTAATCTTTCTGTTTTTATCTTACAGAAGCTTGCAAATTGTTCTGCTCTCAGTTCTCATCATGGGGTATAGCAATGGCTTTTACTCTTAAAAAGCTTCAAGAAAAAGAGTTTCTGGAGAAAAACAAACTGATCGTTAGAGTCGAGGTAAAAGTAATTGAAGTTATTGATGAAGGAGATGTAACTGGGAATGAGACCTTTGATTACAAAGGTTTCCAAGTTCCATATTCTCAGGTACAGTTACGTATAAGGATGCTTGTTTTATTTTGTTTGGTATTCTCTTTCGTGGTTAACATAATTACATGTTTCCTTTGTTGGCAGGTTGCTCCAGTGAGTAGGCTTTTCGTGGAACACCCGGACATTGCAGTGAATTTCAAACTAAAGAACCAATTGGTAAAGACGACATACATGAATCTCGTCCTCGGCCTAATCAAAACACTGAACAAGCCCGCACATAGCTTCACCGAGACTGAGCTAAGCAAAGCTCAGAGCGAGTTGATCGAGCTAACAGAAGCGGGCTTCGAGCTAGACTGGTTGAAAAAAAAGATTGATGAGATTTCCTTGGAGAGGAAGAAAGAAATTCCTGATGGTTCTCGAGTCCGAGAACTCGAGGAAGATATCAAGAATCTCAAAGCTGAACTGAACAACGAAAAGGTCAAATCTGCAGCTAAATTTTTGTCGCTAGAACAGATGGTATCAGATCTCAAAGCCGAGCGGAGCCTTGTTGAGCGGAGCCTTGAAGACTGTTTTTTGATTTTGGAAAAAACCAAGAGTAAGATTCGGCATACGAGATCCTGTTAGGAAAAAAAAAAAAAAGAGACTGAAAAGACATTTTATTAACTTTTGTTATAGTTTTATGTTTTGTTTTATCAATCAAGAAGTTTGGGATTTTTTAGTCCATAATTCTGGATCTTAAATGGGTTTTGATGCTGTTCGTTTCCGAGCAACATAAGTAATGGACTTGATCAAGATTTACTTGGAATACATAGCTTTAGAGATCGAACCCATTGCAGAGAATGATCCTTTCATTGACACACATTGGGTGCAAACGTCTCGGAAGGTGCCTTGCGTCTCAAGTAGTTTGTTTCCTCATGTACCATTGAACTTAAATAGTGTTATCTAAGTGACTTATAATCAGATACATAGTGGTAAAAGGCCAGCCCTCGCTGGGCCGAGTCTTGAATGTACTGGTAACTCGCTAGGCAGTTTTTTGGGGGGGGGTACGGGGGGCTGCGCCCCCGTGGTACGGTATACGTCAGTAAACCGGGTTTTTGAGATGTATATATATGGAGTTTAGGTTTTATTCTTTGTAACACACGAGTAATAAGAAACCCTATTTTCGTCTCAATCTCTATTCTTCTTTGCTTTATCGCCTTTGATTCACAACAAATAGAATTTCAAATAACTGCCATAATCACAACCACCAATTTTAATACATGATGACAAACATATGTGGATAACAGTCGATTAAGTTTGTGAGGAAGAACAAACGGATTGGGACAACAGTTTGATCAGAATTTCAGCTGGTTTGGTTCAATTAGTTGTAAATCTGGTTTAGTTCTGGCTTATCTTTTCAAAGGAAATCAAAATGTTGTTGTTGATCGATTGAAAATTTGTAGCAAAGAAAAACGAAAACAGAGCATCGATCGTCTTTCCGTGGCTTACTTGGAGAGTTATAAGTTTGTAACGAAAACAAACTGATAGTTAAAGTCGAAGTAAAAGTAGTTGAAGTTGTCGAGGAAGGAGATGTTAGATCTCAAAGGTTTCCAAGTTCTATATTCCCAGGTATGATTTACAATGATTCTGTTTTTCTTCCTTTCTTGATTCTCTTTTTAAGGTTAAGACAATTACATCTTTCTCACGCTGACAGGTCGTTTGAGTGAGTAGGCTTTTCATGAAGCATCCGGACATTGCAGTGAATTTCAGACTTAAGAACCAAATGGTTAAGACAACATACCTGAATCTTCTCCTCGGCCTCATCCCGAGAAACTTAATAAGCCTCCACATAGCTTTTCCGAGGCTGAGATAAGCAAAGCTCGTAGCGAGTTGATCGACCTAACAGAAGCGGGCTTCAAGCTATACTGGTTGAAGACGAAGCTTGATGAGGTTTCCTTGGAGTGGAAGAAAACAATTACTGATGGTTCCCGAGAACTCGAGGAACACATCAAGAATCTCAAAGTTGAACTGGACAAGGAGAAGGTTTAGTCTGCTGCTAAAGTTTTGTTGCTGGAGCAGACGGTGTCGGATCTCAAAGCTGAGCTGAGCTTCGTCGTTCAAGGATGTTGTTTGGTTTTGGAATACCAAGATTGAATAACAGTACTACAGTAGAATTCAGCTTTGGAGTTTTTTTGTTATGAAATATTTGACCCAATAATAAACATAACTATTACTGTTTATTGTGCAGAATTTCTTTTTCTTTTCAACGCAAGATT